GTAGGAGGAAGTACTGGGCCGACCACATGCCGTAGGCTGGTGTGCCGGCCCGCAGAGATCACCGTGGATGAGCTCGAGCATCCTTCGCCGATACTTGGCCGTCTTTGGGAAAGGTAGCCTCCTCGCGCTTCCAATGCTAGGGCAGTTTGTCGACAGCTTGCCTCCGTGCTTGATGTGGGTAGCTCTCGCACCATCTTCTTCAGCCAACCAAGCGCTGTCAAGCCGAGATGTCCGAACCGGGCATGCCACATCCACGGTTCCTTGGAGTGCCTTACCGTCAGCACACCGGGCCGCTCTACCTGTCGGTCGAAAGTGTACAACCGCTCAGTGGACCTCTTCACATTGGCAAGAAGTCGCCGCTCCCGGTCCTCGATCCTAAGGACTCGTCCCTGATCAAGACTCGCTACCGCGGCTCATCTAGCTAACCAATGCCGATGATGCCGAACGCACATGCGTGCTGAAGTAATATACATCCGTTAGCGCACGGCAAGCCCCTGCTCGCATATAAGAAGATAATGGTGCCACGCCTTGGATAGCCACCTTGAGCCGTCACCAAACTTCACCGTACCAGTAACATCGCAATCGGAGCTCGGAGAAGGATGCCTTGGAGCCCGCCATGTGGTTTCCGACACCGCAGTCCAGATACCACCGTGCTCTAATCGGTGCCCACACATCCGAGGTGAACTTGGGCGCTCGTTCTTTGAGGTTGACGGTCTTGTGGCCTTCCTAGTTCCTTCCACCGCCATCACCTCCACCTTCTCCTCCGCTTTGATGTAAATGCAAGGCATGTAACGTTGCCATTAGTATAGTGGCCTCATCTCATCATGGCTTGCGCCGGATGAGCCTCAACCTTCTTATCCTCGCTGGCGGTTTGACACTCCTGTGCCCAATGGCCCATCTTCCCACAACGCCGGCAAAGCGTTAGTTGACTTTGCTTCTTCTCCAAAGAAGCCTTACCGCGGCGCTTGCCATCGCCACCGTGGCTGGAGGAGGCTGCCTTCCCAGAGTTCCTCCGAGCAGCCCACTCCTCTTCTGTCAGCAGGAGTTTCCCACTGTCCTTCGTTGTTGTCGCTTGCTCCAAGCGCTCGTCCACCGCTTGCAAACAGCCTGTCATATCCTTAATGGTGAGGGTGGACAAGTCCAGCATCGTCTCTATGGAGAGAGCGATCTGGATGTATTTTGCTGGCACGAAGTGTAGTTACTTGGAGACGACCTCCTCTTTGTCGATGGTGACGCTGTGGCTCTTCAGCTTGCTGATGAGCGTCTGTAGGCGGAGGAAGAAGTCCTCTACTGTTGCACCATCCTTGAACTTGAGGTTGGCGTACTCCTGCTTCAGAAGCTGGGCCATCACCTTCTTTGCGCGGTCGGAACCGACACGCATCGCCGCAATAGCCTCCCACGCCTCCTTAGCCGAGCTCTTCGTCCCCAACAGCTCCCTGTACTCCGCCGGTACAGCAGCGAGGATAGCCTCCAACGCTGACATGTCATCTTCTTCACAGTCGGTGCCCTTGTTAACAGCATTCCAGAGCCGTCGGGCTCTGAGCTTCACCTTCATGGTTACCGACCACTCTCCATAGTTGGTGCGAGTCAGCGTCGGCCAACTGGTGCCGCCGACCTCCAGCACCGTGTGAACAATGACCTTCGGTCGTGGCTGGGCAACCACAGCAGTGCCACTGCTGTCGCCCACTTCCGATCCGTCCGTCATCGTCAGCGGTTAGTCTAGCGATGGTGCTTGTACGGCTCTAAGACCACTTGTTGGCCCACAGGATCACCGGCTCAGGTGAGTGAACCACTCACTTGTCTTGCCTAGCACCCGCTAGTCTTTGTCGAAAGCGATCACTTGCCGTGCCGACCACCTAAGTACATTGTTTGACCACACACTATGGCTAGAGATAGAAGAAGAGGAAGAACAGAGCATGCACGCACAATACGAGACACTAGCATTGGCCGAAGCCCTGTCTGTGGGATGGTAAATCTGAGCTCTCTTTACTGAGTTGCTGTGGTATCCTATTTATACAACTCTATTCTTTTAGTCTTAGTACAGCTGTCATGCTGCTACAAAAACTAGATAACATATAGGGCTGACTCTGAGTCGTCCACTGCATGTGCCTATAATGCTGCAGGTGAGCCGTGCGGCGACGCTCGCACCTGCAGACTTCTGATGATCATGAGCAGAAGATCAGTTCGGCGCCGCTTCTCTTGCTGTTTTCACACAAAGAAAGCAATAGTCCGCTGGTGCTCTCACCGTGCAGCTAGCTCGCCGATGGGCCCCGCGCCATGCGTGTTCGAGGGAGCTCTTCAGCCTGCGGCTGGAGGAGCTGTGCCCGCACCTTGCACCGCTGCTCGCCCAGAAGTGCCGGAGGGTGGCCTGCCGGCCTGGAGCCGTAGACAGCAAGTCCCTGTAATTTGCTTCCACCTGAAATTTCATCTGTCGCCATGGATTTGCTCACGCTGCCACCAAATTAGCTCCCATTCGCCGCGGATATGCCTACCATAGCAGCACAGTTGTCGTTGCTTGCCGCTGATGCGCCTGCGGCCTGCCCCTGTCTCGATGGATTGATGATTCGCCTCCGGATCTGCACGGTGCGCCTCAGCCGATTGGAGGGCTCAAGGCGTTGACCATGGAAGGAGTTGAGCAGGAGCCCCCAACTCACCGACGCCGCCGGCAGCGAGGGCGAGTCTACTGAGAACGGAGTCGAGAGGAGACGTTTTTTATTGAGTAAAATGCACCCTGGCTACTTAAATTATTAGGACATTACTATATAAGTATTGAATGAAAAAAGTTACCACCTAGGTATTTAAATTATTGAGACATTACTATCTGGGTACTCGAACTAAAAAAACTTCCGCTTGGGTACTTAAACTATTGGGGCATTACCATGCTGGTACACGTGGGCCGTCGTCACTTGCTTGAGAGTGACTAGGAGCACGCGAAATGAATTTTGATTCTTTTTCTTTTCTGAAAATTGATGAATAGTGCATGGAATTTGTTATTTTTAAAAAAATAATTAAAATAAATAAATGTCAAAAAGAGACCGCCTACCTGTGTTCGCCTGCTCGCCTGCTTGCACGCCCGCGAGCTCCAAAAATTCTAAAAATTTTTGTGTAGCCTCTACATGATGTACTCTACCTAGGAAAATTATGAAACTTGAGAAATAAATAGTTTTTATATGTTTAAAAATTACCTCTTTTAATTAATAAATGAACTTTCATGAATTTTATAATTAAAATAAATAAATGTCTAAAAGAGGCGGCCTACACTGCTCGCTGTTGCCTGCTTGATGGCCCGCCTAGAGCACGAGCAGGTGAGCACAGTGACCCTCCCGCACACGCCATGCGAGTCCCCATCGCCGTGGCCACACGAGCGACACTGTGGAGCGCGTAAGGGCGCCCGCCGCCGCCACATGCACGCTGGGCACACGAGCAGGTGAGCAGGCTAACACAGATAGACCGCCTCTTTTTGACATTTATTTATTTTAATTATTTTTTACAAAATAACAAATTCTAGCACTATTCATCAATTTTAGAAAAAGAAAAAAATCAAAATTCATTTTCCGCGGCTCTCACGGTCACTCTGCAAGCGGCGACGTGCCACCACAAGCATACCCAAATGGTAATGCCCAAATAGTTTAAGTACCCAAGTGGGAGCTTTTTAGTTCGAGTACCCAGATGGTAATGCCTCAATAGTTTAAATACCTAAGTGGTAGCTTTTTTCAGTTCGAAAGTACCTAGATGGTAATGCCCCAATAGTTTAAGTACCAGTGCATTTTACTCTTTTTTATTTTACAACGGAAGTATTGCCCTAATTCAGATGTAAAAAATATAAAATAAGTAGACTCACTAGCCATCCAAACAACAAATTTGGATTCAACTCGGAAAAATTTACAGACCTATAATTTACAGGTGTCTCAATTACTAAGCTTCCAAACAGGACCTTAACCTGTTCACATGCATGCATGCCTGTGTACGTCGTCCGATCCGGATGCAGTTGGCCGAATGAACTTGTTTCTGCAGTTATTCATCCACGCCGTTCATATCTGATCCAAGCGTCAGCTTAAAAGAAGCTAATCTAACAGGCCTCCAGCCGGCCCATGTGAGCCCATCCCGCACGGCTCTACCCCTCGCGACTCCAACCTCCGCCTCCACGGCTCCGCCGCCATTTCTCGTTCCCCAGGCCACGCGGCTCCTCCGTCATCGCCGGGGCATCACCTGAGCGTCGCGGTGCTCCCGTCCTCGTTAGTGCGACACCGGATCGGGCTGCCATCCTCATGCTCACCCACCGAGACCCACTGGCCAGTGGCCATGGAGCTCGCAGCGCCCAGCGTGGAGCGTGCAGCTCGCCGGCCACAAGCTCGCGCCAAAGCCCGGCTGTTCCCCCTCTCACGCCCGTGCCGGCCATGACCATAGTGATTGACAGCTCGAGCTCGTGCCCGTGCCCCCGACCACGGAGCTCGCGCTGCAGCCTGCAGCCAGATGTTTCGCCTGCGCCGGCCATGGGCCCTGCTGCTCGAGCTCGTGTCGTCGCCTCGTCGGCCATGGAGCTTGCGCCGTAGCCCTACCGTCGCCTCGTCCGCGCTCGTGGACTCGCGCAGCTGACCTAGCGACCTGCTTGCGCCGTGCTGTTATTGGGCCGAAGCCCAGCGAGCAGCGTGGAGGCAAGGCACATGCTCCTGGAGTCCTGGTCAGCGTTGGATACCAGGGGAACGGCTAGATATCCAGCGACTGCAGAGACTTCTCGACCTGGTTCCGTCCGATCCATGCAGTACGTGCGATGGACCGGCCGGTCATGTGTTTATTAAGCAACCAGTACTAGTACTAGCTTAGGTCTAGGAGCCACCACTATAAATACCAGCTGCCCTCCCTCGTCGTCCTCAGACCAATCCAGCCATTTCCCTTCTTGCACTTGCACATAGCTAACAGCCAACTAACAGCGGGATCACAAGAAGCGATCGAACCAGCAATTTGTTAGCAAAGCACATACTTTTTGACGTGGACCAACCATGGCCAACAAGCTCGCCACTTCCCTCCTCGCTGCCTGCTTCGCCGCCGCCGTCCTCCTGGCGCTCGCCGCACCTGCAGTGCTCGCCGGCGACCCCGACATGCTCCAGGACATCTGCGTCGCCGACTACAAATCCCTCCAGGGCCGTAAGTCATCGATCTCCAGTTCTACACACTAGCTATAGCTAGCAACATTGTTTTTCGGTGATCTCTCCAAGTCCACTGTCCACACTATATATATAATAATAACTATGCCTTGCAGCACTGCGGCTGAACGGATTCCCGTGCAAGAGGCCGGAGAACGTGACGGCGAACGACTTCTTCTCCAACGTGCTGGCGACCCCGGGCAACACGGGCAACGCGGTGGGGTCCGCGGTGACGTCGGCGAACGTTGAGAAGCTCCTGGGCTCAACACGCTGGGCGTGTCGGTGTCGCGGATCGACTACGCGCCGTGGGGCGTGAACCCGCCGCACATCCACCCGCGCGCCACCGAGGTCATCTTCGTCCTCCAGGGCTCCCTCGACGTCGGCTTCGTCACCACCGCCAACCGCCTGTACGCGAGCACCGTCTGCGCCGGCGAGGTCTTCGTCTTCCCCCGGGGGCTCGTCCACTACCAGAGGAACAACGGCGGCGGCCCCGCCGCGGTCCTCTCCGCCTTCGACAGCCAGCTGCCCGGCACACAGCCCGTCGCTGAGGCCCTCTTCGGCGCGTCGCCGCCCGTGCCCACCGACGTGCTCGCCAGGAGCTTCCAGGTCGACGGAGGAGTCGTGGAGGCTATCAAGTCCAAGATCCCGCCCAAGTAATAGGCCTGTCATGCTCATGCATGCAGGCACCATGCATGCACGTACGTATACGTATTATACGCTGGTAATAACGAGTGTGTGATTTGATTGAACAAGTGTCATCACTTCGTATTCTAGCTGTAAAGCAAGTGTGTATGGGTCGATCAATTCGTTGGGTTGGAGTGAGGTCATGATGGCCATGCATATATGGCTTCACCGACAGTTCAACTGTTGTTGTGTTTCAATTTCTGCATGAGCCACTTGTATGTGTAGGGTGGTGTGTTTCCGTCAATGTGCAAATTCAGAGTAATGAGTGTCCTGATTGGTGCCTGAATATTGTTGCTCTTGCAACATATTCATCGGATAATAAATCCTGTCGTCCATCATCATGCATACACATCAGTCATTTAGAATTTCGAGTCGTCAAAACTGTGAGCAGGCGGCCTGATAGTTCCTGTTCCTCCTATCGTACCTCCACCAAGAAGCAGCGCCATCGGTGGCGGAACCAGGAGTTTTGATCAAGGGAGTCGGATAATACGTAAATATAGTTTTTCAATATTTTTATGTACGTACTCCCTCCGTTCTTAAATATCTGTTGTTTTCGTTTTCCGAGAAACAATTTTGACTAAATACATATTAAAAATATTAATATTTGTGATACGTATCATTGGATAGATATTTGAATCTGGTTTTTTAATAAATTTATTTGGAGATAGAAATATTGCATGTATTTTCTATAAATCGAGTCAAAGTTATCGGCACGCAAATCGTGGCGACAAACATTTAGAGACAGAGGGAGTATTTAATTAGTATTCATAGAAAAAAACACAATATTATCAAAGAAAAAATGGGTGAAATAATAACTTTTTATGCTATGGTAAATCTATCCTTTACTCAAGTGTTTTTCTTCCTTCGCCCACTCGATTTTTGGGCCGTCAGATGATGCGCTGCGACGGAGGCACGGAGAGGTGAGCGCTCAAGCGGTCGTCGCAGGGCCCACACACCACACCGCACTCCCCTCTCCTCCCCTTTGACACGGAGAGACGGACACCTAGCTGGCCCATGCTGCTTTTGCGCAGGGGTAGGTGCAGAGACTACAGTAGCTAGCGGGTAGTGTCAAATCACCTAGCCCCTACTCATGTATGTATATATAAGAGCAGATTACATTTCATTGAACCATATTTTACATCTTCAGTTTAGGTGTAAGTTCTATATTCAACTGGTGTAAATTGATTATTCTTAAATGAGAATGATCAGAATTACTTGGATATTTATTTGACCGATTTTTTGGCTTTTTTTATTTTCTGTATATTTTATTTGGGTTTTCTTTGAATTTTTTTAATTTGGTTTCCATAGAAATAATCTGGCTAATTTTTTTTGTACGCTGGTAATAACGAGTGTGTGATTTGATTGAACAAGTGTCATCACTTCGTATTCTAGCTGTAAAGCAAGTGTGTATGGGTCGATCAATTCGTTGGGTTGGGGTGAGGTCATGATGGCCATGCATATATGGCTTCACCGACAGTTCAACTGTTGTTGTGTTTCAATTTCTGCATGAGCCACTTGTATGTGTAGGGTGGTGTGTTTCCGTCAATGTGCAAATCCAGAGTAATGAGTGTCCTGATTGGTGCCTGAATATTGTTGCTCTTACAACATATTCATCGGATAATAAATCCTGTCGTCCATCATCATGCATACACATCGTCATTTAGAATTTCGAGTCGTCAAAACTGTGAGCAGGCGGCCTGGTAGTTCCTGTTCCTCCTATCGTACCTCCACCAAGAAGCAGCGCCATCAGTGGCGGAACCAGGAGTTTTGATTAAGGGAGCCGGACAATACGCTGACACTTCATAAATAAGATAAATATATATATAAATATATGTCTCAATAGCTTTTCAATGTTTTTACGTACGTACTCACTCCGTTCCTAAATGTCTGTCGTTTTCGCTTTCCGATTAACAATTTTGACTAAATATATATTAAAATATTAATATTTGTGATACATAATTAGTATCATTGATATATATTTGATATATTTGAATCGGGGTTTTTAATAAATTTATTTAGAGATAGAAATAATACAAGTATTTTCTATAAATCGAGTCAAAGTTATCGTCATGCAAATCGTGGCGATAAACATTTAGGGACAGATGGAGTATTTAATTAGTATTCATAGAAAAAAACACAATATTATCAATGAAAAATGGGTGAAATAATAACTTTTTATGCTACGGTAAATCTAACCTTTACTCGAGTGTTTTTTTTATTGCTTTACTCGAGTGTTTTTCTTCCTTCGCTCTCTCAATTTTTGGGCCGTCAGATGATGCGCTGCGACGAAGGCGATGAGAGGTGAGCGCGCAAGCGGTCATCGCAGTGCCCACACAGCACACCGCACTCCCCTCTCCTCCCCTTTGACACGGAGAGACGGACACCTGGCCCATGCTGCTTTTGCGCAGGGTAGGTGTAGAGATTACAGTAGCTAGTGGGTGGTGTCAAATCACCTAGCCCCTACTCATGTATGTATATATAAGAGCAGATCATTGAACCATATTTTACATCTTCAGTTTAGGTGTAAGTTCTATATTCAACCAATGTAAATTGATTATTCTTAAATGAGAATGATCAGAATTACTTGAATATTTATCTGACCATTTTTTTGGCTTTTTATTTTTTTGTATATTTTATTTGGTTTTTCTTTGAATTTTTTTAATTTGGCTTCCATAGAAATAATCTGGCTATTTTTTTGTTTTATTTGGTTTTGCTTTGAAATCTTCTAATTTGGCTTCCATAGAAATAATCTGGGTAATTTTTTATTTTATATGTTCTATCTTTGAATTAATTCTGATCATTAGATCTTAACCCTGTGGTTATAAAATTTGAGTGTTTTATGGCCTTAAAATACTCGATTCTATCAACCGGTCAGTTTCGAGTGTTTTATTGGCATGTGACGCTCGGGTGTGACGAGTTCCTAAAATACTCGAGTAGAAGGTAGACATACTATGCAATTAAAAATTTATAGGGTATTTTTTTTTTCAAATGGGAGGGGGGACATGAGACCCTACAGCCCCTTTGTTCCGCCAATGGCACCGTTGTTGTTCTCAACCGCGTGTAACAATGTGAACAACTAGCACATCCTCCGTTTGAAAATTGGATCCATAAACTAAAGTTTAGTCCGTGTCGGATGTTTGGATGCTAACTACGAGGATTAAATATGAGCTAATTATAAAACTAATTGCATAGGAGTAGATTAATTAGCGAGACGAATCTATTAAACCAAATTAATCTATGATTAGTACATATCTACTGTAGCACCACATTGGTGCCGTTCGCTGGTCTGGTTTCCAGACCAGCCGGCTGGTTCCTCCTTACAGTGGCACTATTCATCAACCAGCCGCTACAGTATTTCTCTCTCACACAACCAGCCGCTACAGTGTTTTGGCTTCTTTTTTCAGACAAGCGAACGGGCCATTATCAAATCATGAACTAAGGTAAATCCCTTGACCGAGTGAAGGCGAGCTCGGATTCTTAGATTGACGGGGTTGTGAAAGGAATAAAAGGAAGAAGATGTTGCATCGGCTTCTATTCAAACTACTCCCTAGTATAATATTCTAGAATGGGTTATTCTAGCTTATCATCTGATATCTAATTAGGCTTAATAGATTCATCTCGTAAATTAGCCTCTATCTGTGCAATTAGTTTTATAATTAGCCTATGTCTAATACTCCTAATTAATATTAAATATCATACGTGACATGAACTAAAATTTAGAAACCTACGAACTTCCTAGCCCGGCCCTAAAAAATGAAGCTAATGCTATATATAACGCCTTACCTTTTGTCTTTCCATTTTCTTCGCGTCTAATAGAAATCACAGTGAAGTTTTCGTCGTTCCGCAAAAAAAAAAAAAAAAAAATCTTGACCTCTGTCTCTATGAATTGTTTCTTTATGCGTGTACAGTTTATTTCATTTCATATACTCTTTGTCTGCATAATATCTCTGTCTCTACGTGCAAAACGCTCTAGGTAGTTAGGGTCAACGGGTAATCTCCCAAAACGACCATGGATTGTTAACAGGATGTATTAAAGTGGAAAGCATCAAATGAATATTGGCATCGTGAATTCAAGTACCTCAAAAGCAAGTCTTTGGACGATAAAGTTGGTAAGATACACTTGAATAATCTCAATCGTCAAATACACCCTCGTCAGCTTTACTGATAGAATTACATATATATAAGGAAGAATGAGTATTCTTCAATCCCCTACTGACTGAAGTATAGTGCTCGATTTTAACAAGGCCGGGAATTCTGGTGAACGAAGAATTGGGGGTTTCTCGGCCACCGCATGGAGCGACTAAAAAAAAAAAAAACTGAAGTTTATGAAGTATCTTTTGAGGTGCTCTTACAGCTCTGTTCTTTTTTTCTGGGATAGAGTTTGTAGAGCTCCAATTATTTAGCTTAAAAATGTGGAGCGAACATAAGCAGTGGATAAGGCTTCGGTCGGACAAGGTAGCAAGGCAGGCAAACGACGAGGCTAATTAGCGAACGCTCATTACATTTAAATCGAGCGAACAAAATTAAGACGCCAACTTTCCTTTTTCAGCAAAACAATTCAATCCCACCTGTCTTTTTTGGAATGGCAGGTGCGTTAGCAGTGGGGCGCGCCCCCTCCCCTGCTCTCTTTTCCAGGCAGATGACATCATCCTTAAAAAAGCAAAATATTTATTTTCAAAATGTTATAATTTTCGAACGATGTATCCATTTTCAATTTCGTCTGCACCGGTGTGGTCTACTCGACGAGACGAACAAAACTATACTTGTCGGGTATCGATATTAGGGATACCCGAGCAAGGAAGTTAGCGCCCACGCTGACTTCCTTGGATGGAGCAAGACGTATTAAAAGGTCTCGCCCGACCCCTTGGGTTCGTGCTCCGTTTCGCCCGACCCCTTGGGTACGGGCTCCGTCTCGCACGACCCCACATACGCGGTTTCCGTCTCGCCCGACCTCGAGGCCGCGGGGATCTCGC